ACAGCAATCTTGCACTGTGGGGATGAGGAACATTTTCCAAATTCCTATGATTTCTGTAATAAAAGCCACAGATTAAGAAGATAGGGTTTGGGGTACATGTGTGGTCTCTCCAGTCCCCACCATTACAGGCTGATTGCTGGGAAAGGCAGCCCAGCACACACCCCACCGGGTACCACCAGTCCCCTGGGGCTCTCCTGCCCCTGCACAGTCCGCTTTCTTGATGGGGAGCTCATCTGCTGGAAGGTACCTGAAAACCTGGCTAAGGATGGTCCAGGCACACAGCAGGATGCTCAGATCCCACCTGTTTTGTCAGGCTGCATCCAGACCCCAGGCTGGGGGTCCCGAAGGCAAGTGGACACCTGGCAGCACCCTTCCTGCCCTTGAGGGCCATTTGCACTTAGCACCCGTGTCACTGCAGCCTTCAGGCCAGCTCCCAGAGGGATTTAATGATGCCAAAAGCCACAGGTGAACGCACTTCATCCCTGTCTTCCTCTACACCTCAGGGAGGAGAGAGCCCTGAATGCAGTGACAAACCAGAGCAGAAGGGACATTGCAGCTGTACAGTGTGCTGAATCCAAGGGAATCCTGAAAAGGTCTCGTCATTTTGGGAGGGACTTAACTCATGATTTTTTAGTGCTTCTAAATAACAATTTTTTTTTTTTTTAGCGCTTCTGAGCTCTCTTCCTACATGTGGCAAGTAAGGAGACCACTGCCCAGTACTTACTTTTGGGAGCATGCAGTAATCAGGGATTTTAACATTTAAGTCAATTGGCTCTGGAATTGCCTCTTTGCATGTTTTTCCCAAGGTTAATAAGCAAAATGTACTTAACGTGGAGGCAGATTTACAGTGATGTTCTCATTTTTCAGCTGGAGCACCTGTGCTGAAAGCACAACCCAAAAATGGGATAAAACTCCTCCTTGTAATACCTACACACAGCTGGCCATGAGGCTGTCTCTACCTTAATATTGGTTTTGCCTCTGCTGGTTTCTTTTCTCCCACAACCTTAAAAACCAAGCTAAGCCCCAAATCTTACTGTTGAATCTTGACTCGAAGAAAGCTGAAAAGCCCCAATCTCAGCAATCACCAAATTTTTGTTCCTGGTGGTAAAGAGCCAGGGACACTAAAAATACTTCCAGCTGTCATGTCCTGAAGATGGAATAATTGGATGGGTCAGGCTGACCTGCGCTCCCACGGGGAACACGAGGTGCGGGGATGTGCATGAAGAAAAATGCTGCTCCAGTTTCTGCAGAACCCCCGGGTCCCTGCTGGCACATGCCTGCCCAGGACAGGTCGTTTTTTAAATGTGTGCAAGGATTTAGGGAGAGGAGGCTGGGACAGGTGGAGCAGAGCCCACAGGGGAGAAATGCCTGCAGTGGCGCTCATGCCTCTCATGCCCGCAGCTCCCTGGGACACGATTCAGGAATTCTCTAACAGACACTTTGAAGAGCATGTGAGAGCCTGCTGAGCAAACCTCCCTTACCCAAGGCCAGGCACTTGGGTAACTTCAGCTCCCCTCCCCCTGTTTATTTCAGTTGCATAAGCAAACACAGGAGCGATATTTCCAGCGGGCCACAGCATTCCCCTTGCCCGCACAACAGCCTGAAATGGGGTATGGTCTTTATTCCTTACTGAGGACCTTCGAGTAATTAAAAAATACCCAGACCCACAAGCTATTTCGGTATCTCACTCACACTGATCCAACACCTCTAAAGTAAAGAAGCCCCAGATTCTCATGAATTAAAAAAAAATAAAATGTTGGGAGTGCTATTCTCAATGGGAACATAGGGCTAAATATCTTCAGATCTTCACCAAAGCATCTCATTAACTTTCCATCCTCATTTCCTTCAGGTGAAGATGATCTCACTAAAATCCTACTCTTCTTGCTTGGCAAAGCTCTCTGTTTGGTCCTCTGCTTTGCAGACCCACGGATTTCATGACCACATACACCCACCAGTGGCACCTGCTGGGGGGCCTTTCATTAACAGCTATGAAAAACAGGAGACGGAACCTTAAAGTCCCCGAGGCATCACTTTGTCCTAGCACCTTGTGTGCAAAGCTTAGGAATTGTTTAAAAAGCCCTGTCTTCTTGGGGAATGAATATATTCACACTGGAAAAGTAAGAAAAGACACATGTTTATACATTTATTATATACAATATTAAGGCACAAGTTTAAACAGCAAAGAAGAAATCTTTGGCTGACCAACAATATCAATATTTGCTGTGGGTGACACATAACGTTCTTAATTTCCCCCCCTATGTACAAATAATCCTCCAGCTGTACAACACTGTACACCAACTCCTCTACACAACCAACAACAGTAAGAAATGACAGTATTTTACAACTAGTTACCAACATCACCTGGAATAGCTACAGCGCAGTTTCCCAAAACACAGAACAGTTCAAAGAGCTGGGAAAACCAGCACAAACGGAGTCACGCTGCTCTGCTGAGAGGGGCTGATTCATGGCAGTAGTGCTTCCACACAAGTCCTGCCAGTGCTCGGGCTGGGGGAGAGCCGCTGGTCCTCCAGACCTTCCCTCCTGGAAAAGTAACATCTCCCGGGTTCCACAGAACTGAGGAGAATGAACCTTTGGGTTTAACTGAGCTGCTGTCTACAAGAAGAGTTGCCTACACCATCATCTCTAATGAACAGTTTCCTGTATGTGACCATGAATCTGGGGCAGCATTGGTTGTAAATGCACCTTGGGATACCAGAAACCAGAGGGACCACGGTCTCCACAAGGAGCAGAAAGAGGAAGAGGAGGAGGAGGAGTGCTGTACCTCAGCTGGCTTGGAGAAGCTGAGCTGCACCACTACCAAACGTAACTGAAAGCCACATCACGCACGCTGATCCAACGCTGTTTCTGCTGGTCACCTAGTTGTCTGCCTGTACACCAATTATTAAATAGCTTCATCAAAAGAAATAATACAGCTGGTAATAAAACACTTGGGGACTTCCAAGCACCTGGGTATCCTTATTTCATGGAAAAAAAGATGAAATTAAATATTCACCAATGTTTTATGTGTATTCCCTTGCCTTTGTCTTTCTCCTGCCCCCCTCCCACCACAGACACTTGAGGAAGGGCCACAGAGGGGTCAGCACTGCTGCCACGTGCAAGACCAGCTTTTATGCAAACACAATCCTTAAATTAACTTCAGAGAAAAAAAAATATTTTACAAGGCATATATTAAGCCATGTAACATCTCCCAAGAGTTTTACACATTTGGTTTCACAATGCAAAGCTGCTAATACTCGAAACACACAGTTCGCTTGCCTGCACAACCTACCACTACTTTGTTTAACAAGTGCAAAAATCAGAAAGAGGGCAACACCAACTTATGCCTAATTCTATATACACGCAAAAGTAAGTGCATAGATTTAACATAGCAATTTTGATTTCTACTAAAAAAAAAATGCATCAGCCTGGCAGTATAGAGTGCAGGGCTCTGGCCCCTGAAGGCTTTGAGGGGTTGCAAGGACTTCAGTTTTCAGTGAAAGCAGAGTTTAAAGTGCTGGTGTTTTCACAATCAAGGGCTCCAATTTGATACCTACAGCAAGGGGTGACCTTGAGCCAGCTCTAAGCACACGGTGCCTTGCACCACCCATCACTTTTCCACTCTAGGCAGCTTCACATAAAAACCCATCACCCTTTTTCCCAAAACCAAGTTCCTCCTAATGTCATTGCACTGCACCAAAAGGTTCAGGAACCGCAAAGCCAATACAAAAATACCCCAAAGAGGAAATTTTCCTAGTCAGCATATGCAATGCATGAAGCAAACAGTATGCCATGACTAACACAGCTGTTGAGTTGGCTTTCCCACAGCTGCCACCTCTCACAGAAATCAGGGACTAAACTGAAAATGAGAAACGTTCCATCCTGGGTAAAACAAGGTGAAAAGAAACTGCAACTCAGAACAGAAAGCAGATGATGCTCATGTCTTGCTTTGCAGTTACACCCCTCCTGGCCTGCTCCTACACCCCTTAATGCCCAGTCCCACGGCAGGTTTGTATGCTCAAGGAAGGTAGGATATGGCTGGAGGCATTGAAAATTAGGAAAAAAATCCTGTTCTTACCACAAACACACTGATTATTCCACTACTGTGAACCAGTGCACAATTAGAGGCATCTTCTGAGCTCACATGCAAGCCCAGGGTAACCCCACTGGAAACGCACCCACGCAGCCCCGCTCTGGATGAGCTTCTGCACTGCACAGCCCATCAGGGAGCTGCCAGGATTCTCCCTTGGCTTCCCCTCCCGACACCTTCCCACCCTCACAGAAGAGATTTGCTCCAGCAGGGCCCTCCTCCCCCTCTCTACTTTCATCCTCCATGGGAATTTCAGCCAACAACTGCTTCTACCAAAAAAAGAAGTCTCAGCAAGCTCTGAGGTTGCAAGTCATGAATATTTGCATTGTAAATCCAGCTCCAAGAGCAACACTTGTCCAGTCAGGGAAGAGGCACCTGACCTGCCTGCCCAGGAAAACCACACCACAACGTTTCAAACAAATACTTACAAGGACCTGCTGTGTACATCTACAGACCAATTATTCACCAAAATTAAGCAGCAAACACTTCTGAGAAATGAATTGATACTGAGGAAGATGCAAGTTTCTCCTGGGTTATTCAGAAACTCCCTCTGGTCTCAGAAGATAGAGACTTTCCTGGCTGCAGAGAGGCAGGAAAACAGAGCAGCAGTTTGCACCCAGTCTGTAACTTCACTACCTTCTCTTTACACCAGAAAATGCAGTTTCCTTTTCCCTCAATGATCCCCTTCTCACGTCACACTCCATTTTCAATGCCTCTTTCTGCTCAGAAAATCCCAGACGTTCATTTCATTGCTCCTCTTCAGCGCTCTTGACTTCATGCCTGGTCCAAAGTCTCAATATACCAGGCTCAAGCTTAGTTTCAGACACAAACTTTATCTTTCTCCAAACTCTCAAGGTTAGTTTTTAAGGTTGGCACACTCAGGACCATCTTGGACCTGGCTATACACACACAGAACCCCAGAGATGCCACCCTCTACTCAGATGAGGACTTCCATCAAGTCCGTATCTGGAAACTCAGGCTTGTGGAGCAAGCTGCTCACTCGGCCTTTGCTGTCGGGCAGCTTCCCGTGGCTTGAGTTCTCTGCAAGAAGAAGAAGGGAAAGTTGGTCTTCAGCTCAAATTCAACAGCAAATTGTTCCATGCAAATATAAAACCATTTTACTTTGGATGGTGGTGGAGCACATCTTAACCGTATGCCCTATATACTTGAAAGCCAAATGTGATCAAGAGGCTGAGAACATGTCATGCTGAATTCCCTGCATGGTGGCAGGAGCTGTGTCGTTGTGCAGACTCCAAGGGCAAGCATAAAGATGGAATTTGAGAGATACAGACTGAAGGGCTCTTCAGCTGTGCCCCGAGAGAGAAGCAGGCATTTGTGAAAGGTCTGCATTGCTCTACCAAGCCACTAATTGTCATCTGATTTTCAGTAGCTCTCCACATGGATATCTCTATTCTGCTTCAGGAACAACATTTAGGAGTTTAAAACATTGTGATGGCAATACACAAATAACCAGGTAGGTGGTTTAGTCTAAAACATGTTACTTTGCCAGCGATACAGGCTAAGAGAATGTACACGGCCAATTATCACAATGTATGATAGATGTTGTTAAGTGTTTAATATTCATCACCCTAGTTCTCAACAGTGAAATTCAGGGAGAAGGAGGAGTCTAATTTCTTACAAGCAAGAAAAGCTTGAAAGGCTATTTTAAGAGTACCTGGAAACAAATTTCAGTCTGGACTGCCCAAAACAGTAATCCAGAGTTTCAAGGAATCAGTGATGTTCAGCGCTAATGACACATGGCACATTTAGAGGAAAGGCTTGCTTTTGAGACAAGGTTAGGATGTAGGAAACTGGCTTGTTCAAAATAACATGTGTAAATTAAATGTCTCCCTTGCTAGGGCTGCAAACCAGCAGTTTCCACCTTTCAAAAATAATTAAAATTGAATTTCTTTACCCCTCTCACTGCCCCACATTTTCACTTTCTCCTTTCTATTCCCCTCCAGCTTTCCTATGAAAATTAGGAAGAAAATGGTGCCTTTGCTAATCATGGTTGAAGTTGAAAAAAAGAGAAGGGTCTGAGTATATGAGCAGGTGTGGAGTGTTTTCAAGGTGTGAAACTCTGGAATTTTATCTTTGACAGCTTGGAAAACAGCTTTTTGACAGCTTTTTCTTGGAAACTCTGCCCACCACAGGAGCTTTTCAGAAGCTGCTGAGCACAAAGCTCTGCAAAGCCAGACTGGGTGGCCTTGGAAAATTCCTTCTCTCCAATTTTAGTTTCCCTGAAGAAACCTCCCCACCACCTTGTAGACTGTGAAGGCATCACCCCCCTGCATCAATACTGGGGTGCCTCTGGGGATTCACTGACAGCCCTGGGGGTGCTGGCGCTTTGCCTCATGGTCCCAGGGCCCTGACACGGGGGTCCAGCAGCGCTCACCCAGTTTCTCGCTGGTTGCTCGTGTCCCCGGGGGCCGTGGGGCCGGGCTGTGTGATGGGGTGGTGCCCAGCCGTCCGCGGCCAGGGAAGGAGGCGGTGGCCGGCCAGAAGAGCTCAGTACTTTTGTCCGTCTGGGTGCTGCTGTCTTTGCTGCCGGTCTTCACGTGGGAGGGTGCCGGCACCGGGACAGGCATGCAGGACAAGGAGGGCAGCGGAGGAGGCAGTGAGGAGCCCAATGGGTGGTCGTGGTGCTCCTTCCCCAAGAGCAGCCCTGAAAACACGTGGTGGTCAGTCACATTCTGGCTTGAATGCAAGTGCTGTCCCCACGTCCCACCCCAGAGCTACAAGATGCAGGTCTGGACACATCTCCAGCCCTTTAACTTGGCTTAGCTTTTCCCTTTGATGCTGCCTGTTGCTCTTCTCCTGACATTTGTATGGTACTTTCCTACAAAACAGCCTTTTGAAAGCAGCTGCCCCTTCCTGCATCCCCTTCTGCACGCTCATCACAGTGGTACCTACCCCAGCACAGCCTTGCATGCCTCCACGCTCCTGTCCTATGCAGCCCCAAACCACAGGCAGTCCCACACTCATTTTCCCATACCACATCACATCATGCACTCCCACCCAAAGGGATGCTCACCCTCTTGATTAACCAGGTATTTGTTTCTAGCCCAAATTTGTTATTTACTCCCACAAAGTTGCAAACTTAATCTGTTTCTGCCTGGGAGGATTTCCTCCAACTACGGCTTTCTATAATCAGTACAGAAAAAATGAGATTATTAAAAATATAACTAAGACACAACGCAAGGTTAAAAAATGACTAATTTTTTACTTAAGGACAAATGTTCTTCCCATGAAAGGTGCTCTGGAAATGAGCTGTGGGGAAAATGTGCACTATGGCCGGGGCACTTATGCTAAGCTCAAGCAGAAGGATTAGGACAAAGTGATGGATGAGCCAAAGCTTAACCAAAAACTGAACCCACCTATACTTCCCTTCCAGGTCTTCTCCTCCTTCTTCTCCTCAGCTATCTGGTTGCTGCTGAGTGAGGTCTGGCGTGAATGTGTGCCCGTAGCAGCGGCGAGGGAGGGGACGGACCGAGCCGGTCGGAGGCTGGCACTGTCAGCTTTCCCAGGGTCTTTCCGTGACCGCTGCTGAAGGACCTTGATCATGGCATCCTTCTCAATTATTTTTGCATGGAGATTCTTTATTCTGCCAAAATATGAATGCTTTGCTTACAGGAATGGAAGAAGTGTTTATACAGGCATCTCTCCCCACTCCAGGGCAGCAGTATGGGTCCCTGGGTACATGCCCTGCTGCTTTGTGCCCTCCAGTTTTGAGCATCTTGGACAAAGCAGCTCCCACCAGTTCCTCTGAGGATAACCATGCACTTCAAAATGGGCAGCATTTCTGGCTATTAATCCAAAACTGGGATCTCTTTTTTTTGCAAGGTTAACTGAACCCATAGAGTGCAGTGGCTTTACCAACCCAGCAGGAGTAATGAGGGCAGTATCCTGACCAAGCTGTGGATTGCTACCTTCACCAGAACACCAACACACATGCAATTTCCACTCCTGTAATGCACAGGGGCCAAGTCTGGAAAGCCTCCTTTGCAGACTGAGTTAAGCCCATGATTTGGGTCTGCCGTCAGCTGGCGTCAAGACCTGCTGAAGCGAGCAGAAAGGTTCCCTTTGGTTTCTCCAGCACCTGGGCTGGGCTCCTGCTTCTCCCCCACCGCTGCAGAAACGATCAGCACACAGTGTGCAGAGCCAAGCAAAGCTCGCTACTTCTCTCATACAGACCTCAAATCACAAAAAAATACGATTATCTGAGACTTTGCTCCAGGAATGACTATCACCCAATCATAATGAAAGAGTAGAAACTACATTTAAAAAAAATAAACTGTACATGTACAAGATGACAGACGGATGACTGTATCTTGACTGTGATGTACAACGTAAGAGACCAGTGCAGCTGCATTTTGTGAAGCACGGAAAGATAACTGGAAAACCTATATGTACAAGAGAGATAGCTAGTAACTTCACATTGGCATTAGTTTTCATAACCAGATGCCTAATTTGCTATGAAAACACAAGATCCTAATCTATCTTTAATGAAGCCAAGGGCAAAACTCCAATATTTCACTTGTAAGCAAGACTAGCTTGCATCTGCAAGTAGAAAATGAAAAACAAACCCAGTGAAACCAATCATTGCTACTTTCACAAGCAACAAATATACTGTTTTATAAAAGTGTCTGCAGACTGCTGATTTTGTGGGGAAGGCAACCCTGAGGAACAGACTTTAAATAGTTTTTCAGCAAAAATCTGGAGGAATACACAAATATTCTTGAGGGATTTTTACTCATCAAAAGGCCACTTCTACCAGGAAAAATAGTCTGGATTAAAAATGCTGCCCAGGTCTGACACTCATTGAACTACATGGCCACATGTCCACTTGTGTGCTGAAAATGGAGAACTATCTGCACCAACGAATGTTACTGTTCCCAGGCTGACTGCCTGTGCCCGAAGTAGTTTATTTTGTATCTTCTACTACTTGTAAATGCATATTTTTCAGTGGTGCTCGTGGTGCTAAATTTTGCAGGTTTGTTCCTAAATGCCAACGTGAGAGTCACACAACTCGGCTGTGGAAACTTAGTGTATGTAGAAAGAGCAGCAAACAGACAAGGAGCGAAGAGCGAGGCAAAGGCAAGCGCTCACGTTGCTGATTATGTAGGAGCAGGATTACAACTCAGCTTTTATCACCAGATGCTCTTGTTTCCAGAGTGGGATTTTCACTGAGATTAAACAAGCACCCAGCTTCCTTGCATGCCAACTTAATTTTAATAGTGGAACAGCCTCCGTTTTGTAAGAGGGTCGGTTTTGGCACAAAGAAGGTTTAATGGGAAGGTAGGGAGGAAGTTATCTAACAGCAGCAACTCTTTAATCCCCATTTTAATGCTAAAGAGCAAAACTAGGTCAAAGTGAAGCTAAGCCAGTCCTTTCCAGGCATGCATGAAGGAACCAAAGGGCATCCTGGTTTATCTGAAACCATCCCAAATCCCATGATGAGCAAGTACGGCACAATGGCCCCTTACGTGTACTCCATGTCTTGGCAGCGCCGGTTGGCTTGCACGATCTCCTCCTCCTCCTGCCAGCCCCGCACCTCCAGCGTGCTCTCACTGTAGCTGCCGTTGCGTGAGTGGCTCGGGGCCGAGGCGTCTCTGGCAAAGGGGTTCAACATGGTGAGTTGAGATTGCAAGGGTGGCTTTGCAGGGGAGATCAGTGCTTGCAAAGAAAACCCCAAACCCACATTTGAAGAGCAAGCCAACGATGCTTGCCATGTCACGTGGATAGCTATCTGGCATTGGGTTGTCTTGCTGCGGGCTACTCTTGTCTTGGTTTAGTCATCGACACTATTAACTAACTGGGCTGATAGAACAGAGAGGACCCTAAAATCACGGGTGACCCCCACAGAGCTAACAACCATCCTGAAGGACAGGATTGGACATCAGAGGGACTCACTCACCAGGCAAATGGTCCCAAGTCAACAAGACTACATCGCAAAGAAGAAACAAAATTGTACACTTTGGAAGGTGAAAAATAGCACAGGAATTGCTGCCTAGACTGGAGTGCAAAAGAAAAGGATCATCCTGAGTCACACACTTAACTGCATTTTAGAGGCAAATCTCATTTTAGGATGTGCTCAGGGGATTTGTCTTCTAAGAAATTGGGGCGAGAAGTTAATGATCCTGTCCTGATCACTTGAAAGCTTTGCTGCAGTGCCTTGTGTGCTTTTGGGCAGCACGCTTTGACACAGACAAACTGGAGATGGTCCAAGCAAGTGCAATGGGAATGGGAAGAGGTTTACACTAGGACCTGTTAGGAATGGCTGAATGGTTAGGCCACAGAAGATACAACAGGGAATATCTGTTTTCCAATATTTACAAGTCTGTTACAGTGTTGATAGCGATTTTTTGTTCATCATGTACACCTGGGAAGGACATAAATCAGTGGAGGTAATTTGCCGTAAAGAAGTTTAGCTTAGCTATTAGGAGAACCTCTTTATTCTGAAGCTTAATGAAGTGGTGAAACAGGGAACTTAGGCCACAAAATTTCCCTCTTTACTGGTTTTAAAACTAGGTTAAACAACCATGTTGCAGGCTGTGGGATGGATGCAGCCATATACCAACAGTCCCTCCTTGCTTCATCAGTGCATAAGGAGCTGCCTTACCTATGCTGTGCAATTTGGCAGCCTTAGACTTTGCCATTGAGGCCCTGGCTTGAGTCTAGTGCCTGGATTTCATAAACTTTTGGACCTGGTCAGAAAGGTAAATCCTGTCTTAACCAAATACCGTGTCTCACTGGCATGATACCATGGATAGATGAATTAACCGTGGTGGCGCAACTCAGCAGGGAAAGGCAAGCAAAATTAACCTGTGAGAGAATATCCACTCCTTATTATTCCCCCATGCTTTCTGCTGTGAACATAGCTGTCCACTTGCAGCAACATCTTACCTCTCTGTCACTGTGGTAGCTGCAGCATTCATGGCAAAGTGCCTGATTGTACTCTCCTCCAGGTACTTCTGCTCCCACTTGGTCATGTCAGCTTCCAGGGCCAAGATCCTCTCCTCCTTCTCCCGTACCAGCTCCATAAGGGCCGGAGCGTTGTGCTCCGGGAGGCTGCTCGTCTGGTAGCTGCTCTGCCTCTGCCAGTGGAAACAGCGACAGGTAATTCATTCACACCTCACCATGCACAGGAGCTGCCGGCCATTTTTCCCCACGTCCTCTCTGAAGCTCACAGACATCCCCATGTTTTTTGACAGGAAACTTTGGGCTAAACCCCTTAGGTTGCAGGAGGACAGGCAGGTTGACCATATGTGCAAGCCCAGCACACACTTTTCCAGACCATGTTGACAAAACCAGGGATCTGGCTACTTCCTGGATGTGCAGCGATTTCCTGGGATACCCCAAGCCAAGTGAAAAGGTAGGAAAAAAAGCCGGTAAAAAGAAGAGGCAATGAAGGTTTAAAATGTATTTTTCTTGCTGGGACTTCATCACATGGCTGGGCAGTGCTTGGTGTGGACATGCAGCGATTACCAGACGGTTTATATATAAAAGCAGAGAAAAAGTGACATGTAAACTAACTACAAGTAACCTGTTAAAATAGCAGCTGGGAAAACACTACAGTCATGGATTTACACCTGTCTCTTCTGGCACATTACTCTTATGTGCCCTCAGGAGACCCTCTCTGTGGTGCAGCAGGTAACTTTCCAACCAGAGGGGCAGAAGATCCCCAGGCACTGCAGGGTGGCTCCCATGCACCCAATGAGTGCATAATGCTTTGCAGCTACACTGCAAGGAAAGCACTTACCCAGGCAGAATTTATCCCACCCGGTTACAGGAACTTAATTAAAGCACCTGAGTGGCACTGGTAGCTTCCCCAAGCTCCTCTCAGTGCTAGTGGAGAGCAGAGGAGTATGGAGAACCCACACTTAGTGGAGAGGCCTGAAGCTCTGGGAGAAGTCAGTAGAAGTAAATGCTTTTTTTCAATTAAAAAATGCAACAGATCTGTTACACTCCACAGTGCACAGGACTGTGTTAAACAGGATACCATGCCTTGGGAGCACTGGTTGCTCATCCATGCCACACCACAAACTTCCACCAGCAAAGCAGTTCCCTGGCACAGCATCAGCAAACCAGAGCGACAGCTGCAGCAGCCGCTTCCATTTTCCAAACCACATTTCCTCCTTCTAGACACTTATCTCTTGCTTACAGGAAACCAGAGATACCAGGGGATGGGTGCAGCGTTTGCCTTTGGTGGGGTAACAACATGTTTGGAAGCTGCTTTCGGGAAGTGCAAAATAGAGCAGACCTTAGGAGCAACAGCTGTGACTCTGCTCCTGGAAAAATCAGCACTTACACTTCAAATATTGTCAAATCCCTGGCAGGAGGACAGTATTTTGGAAGCACGGTCCTGGTCTGTAAATGGCACTTTTGGACATTGCGAGTGTTTCCATTCTCAGTCAAAACCTCTTTGAGTCCTGCAGGCTCAGCCTGCAATGCTGAATCAAAGGGATTTTTTTTTTTGGTCTTAGCTCCATTGAACTTGGCTACCAACAAGCCAGGAACAGAAGAGATTCTGGCTCACTGTCTCCTTCTAATGACTACGGTAAGGAGAAAAAAGCTGTTTTCTTTTTTTTTTCTCTATGATGAGAGACAATTTCAGTAGATATAACTTTGATAACTCAGAGAAGATAGCTCTGAAGTAAAAAGTTGGGGCATCTTGAAGCAACATGATTCATCACAGCATTGTGGCTCATAAAAAAAAGAAGTATAAATAATAATAATTAAAAATACACCAAAGTCTCCTCTCACAGCTGATAGGTGAGACACGAAGTCAGAGTATCTTTCCTGTTAGAGGGAATGGGTGCAGGCATTGGAGAACTATGGCAACTCAAAATGCAGTTGCTGATTACAGCGCCAAAAAGAAAATTAAAAATGAAGCAGTCTGTAAGTTACAGAGGAATTTTCTGCTAAAATGAGCAGACATAGCTTGAACTCCCAAGACAAGGACTTGGGTGACAGTTCATCCCAGTTACTTAATATATCAATTTGTCCCTATATTCCAGCCCAGTGAACAAAACCTTTCCTAGTACTAGTTTTTCCTTCACTTGAATTTTAGTTGTATTTTCTCATATGTTCTTTCATTTACACCACCATTAGCATGTCATATCCCCTGTGATTTCTTTTTTAAATTGGAGAAGAGCAGGCTAAGGGGCAACTGAGAAGAGCTGCTGGAAGAAGAAGGAACAGCAAGTCAGTGGTGGACAGGGCAAGAAAGAGTGAATGCACCAGGAAGAGCCAAGATGGATGGGAACTCCCTGTAACCTCCCCCTGCTCTTGGGCTTTTTTCCCTTTCACAGATGACTGGACTCTGGGACTTGGGGATGGAGGAAGAATAGCAAAGGAATAACTGTGCATAAAATACAAGCATAACACGATCTCTCTGAGGACACAGGGCTGCCAAAAAACAAGGGGACATACACAGAAATGCAAACATACACTTCTAGCCCATTCTGGACTGGAATAGTATTTACATAATTTATTGTCTGAAGACGACACCATTTGTCTCCAGGTCTTTCATGGATAGAGGTTTCTGTGAACCAAGTCCATCAGCTTTGCCCGAAATAAATATGCCCAAGCCCTTGCTCTCACCTATTCCCACGTCATCCACCTTGCTTTTTCAATGAAAGATCAGCCAAAGTCTGTGGGTTGAATCTCATTCCCACATGTACCACACCTTTCCTCTCCTCCTTCACTGTGGAGTTGATCTTGCACAGTTGAGAAACTTGGAAGGACGTTTTCCCCTGACAGGTGTGGCTGGACACACAGAGGCAGAGCCCTGCATGCCCTTGGGCAGCGGAGCCAGGACCTCCCAGCCCCACCACAGGCAGGGCTTGGCTTTGTCCAGCAGCCCCACTCTGGAGCTCCCCCATCCTCTGCTGAAGATCAGGAGTGGTTTGGGTTGGAAGGGACCTTCAAAGATCATCTAAGTCCAACATCTTCCGCTAGATCAGGCGGCTCAAAGCCCCATCCAACCTGACCTTGAATACTTCCAATGATGGGGCATCCACAACCCCATCCAAAGGAAAGGCTTAGGTGGAAAGCCCAGCAACCGGAACCCAAAAGCAAGGTGGCACCTGGCAAGGCTGCAAGTGGCCATTCTTCTTTAAAAGTAACACCAAAGACCCCATACTGGGGTCCTGCAGAGTCCACCCCATCCTCACCTGCTGCATCCGCAGCGAGTCCAGCTCCCGCTCCAGGCGTGTGCGCAGTCGCCGCTCCATCTGCTCCCGCTTCTCGCAGGCCGCCTGCAGCTGGGTCAGCGCCTGCTGCAGCTTCTCCACCTTCTCCACGTAGGCCTGCTTCCTCCGCAGCTGCAGGGCACAAGGGGTCAGCAGGGAAGGGGGGCACTGCACATCAACCCTGGGCCACAGCGACCTCACTGTACTTGCAGGTGTGCATTAAGTGCAAGCACGGCTTTGGCCATTTGCTTTGCAGAGTTTCTCCAGGGGAACAGTGTCCCTGGGCAGAGGGAGCATCGCCGCGACAGCTCTACCCCTTTCGGAGGGAATGATGCCCAGATCTTCCGTCCATCGGGGATCTGCTAGCCATGAAGCCCCCTGGCCACTTCTAAGCAAGAGCCATCATGTTGGTGGATACTCTTTGGCCAAGCACACAGACTGGCCTCAGCTAAGAGGAATCCTGGTGGATTTACTGAATGGTGACACTCGGCACATCGTCTGCACCCTAACAGAGTCTCATTTTTTCAACCCTGCGTATCTGCTCAATGCAGGTGGAGCAAGCAGAGTGCCAGAAGCCATGAGTGCTCACAGACTCAGCCATGCTGACGTATAGATGTGCTGGCAGCTAAATCCAGGCCTTCCTTATGTATATAATGCAATTACTGAAGGGCTAAACATGACACACGGATTTTGCAATACAGAGCTTTACAGCGAGAGGTTGCTCAAGCAGCACACCCAAGAAGGAATTTGCAAGTGGAGCATAGTGAGAAGTTTGCTGCCTTGTTTCTGGGCATGTGGAGCAACCAAACACCAGTGCTGCGTCCCCCCAGCTCTGCGGGGCTCCCCTTCACCCAGAGTCTTCTGCTCAGCCCAGGACTCCCATGCTGCATATAAGGTTTTTTTCCCCCCTTGTGTGACGCTGGATTCACCTAGGTTCCCTCCCACTGATTTCAAAGACAATAACAGTACTTTTTCCTGAAATTCCTCTTCTGCCACTCTAAATCCATCCATGTCACAGGTGAAGTGAAATATGGGCTTGTTCACAGCAAAAGCAAAGCTTGGCCTAAACAAACCTCCCCAGCCACAGCCGATGACTGGCAGCATGACCTCCCTAGCCCGGCTGTAATCCAGGCTAACACTTACGGCTTCTGGGGCTTTCCATGAAAATTAATGAGATTATAATCCCCACCAGTCTCTGGCAGCAGCACGAAGGTTGCATTCCTCAGGAGCTCACGACTTGGCAAGACAGACACAGTGGTGGCTTCTTGCTGAATGTGCTATTTTGGCTACAGGAAGGTGCCTGTGCCACCTCTCAGCTGCACCAGGGTGGATCAGAGAGGGGAAGGGGGCTCCCTCGGGGTCCCTTCTTGGCAGTAGACCTCATCCGCTCCCCCCTGTCCTGCTGGATGCTGGAGACTCCACCTGTACCACAGCAGGCAGAATTTGGCTTTGCAGCAGGCCTCTAAGCCCTAGAGTTCACACGCTCACACATGAGTGCACCTCTGCCTGCATGGGTGAGGCGATGCACACACGTCCACTGTCTCAGAAAACTATTTTGTTGGAGATTTGAATGTTTCCACAAGTTTCCACATTCATAAATATAAAGGGAGAGTCTTGAGCCAATTCTGACTTTTCTAGCCTTTCTGCAGATTCATAAGCAAAAAATTGACCAACACATTTAAAAAACAAAGTATAAAATGTTGTAGTTTAAATTAACGGGCTTGTCAGTGCAGCATGCACCCATAAGGGAGGGTGACTGCAATCAGAAATACCTGATACTAAGCTCCACTACTTCACAGACACAAAGACTCAAATACAAAAAAAGCTGGATGGCACCTGGAGAGCTACCAGTTCCTTCTCCCACTGCAAGGTAGGATCAACTCTATCTAAAACCTGGTACGTGTCTGTATAATCTGTTTACAAAACCCCCCAGGGGTAGGGACTCCACAAACTCTCACTGCAAACTACTTCATGGCTTATTTTCCTTTACTGCCAGAAAACTTTTGCCTAATGTGACTTCCTCTTATGCAATTTAAGAAAATTACTTTTTGTTCTGCTTCCAAATGGTGATCTACTAGAGCAAAAAACATTTAATGAAGCAATTCACATATTCACAAGATCAGCAAACTTGCCTGAACACTGCCCTTGTCCCATGGATTAGGAAAATAAAGACCAAGAAGAGCTAAGGCTAAAAGGGGATGATCCAAGCACTAGGAACATAACTCCAGTTCGAGCTACAGAATATCTATCCTATAGATACAAGATTTGAGTTAAAGACTGTAAGAGATGGAGAATCCACTAACACTCTAAGTAGGTTGTTCCAGTGTTAATTACTCTATTTCTGGCCTGATTGGCTCAGCTTCAACCCCCCAAACACTATGTCTCATTATTCCTTCTTACGTTAAAGAGCAATGCTTAATCTGGCTGACAGCAATCCCTTCTTCATGTTCATGCGCATGGACTGGAGCTCAGCCACCTCTTCACTTTGATTGTTCACAGCGAAGAACAGCTTCTGGGCCCCAAATAAATGCCACAGCTGTTTTCTGAACCCTCTCCAATTATTTAGTCTTCTCTCCAAAGCATGGACCAGATACACGATTCCAGCAGCAGTCTCCTAAATGACATGTGGTGATAATACCACCTACATATTTTTGAATTAAATCCTTCTACTAGCAGGCACTCAGGATAATGTAGATTTACATAGTACGCTATCTTATGTTAATTCAACTTAGTAGCTACTGCTTATTTGTCAAGCCTTGATTTAAAAAGCTTTAAACTTAATTATGTTCTGGTGGTAGAAATCTGGATGGATTTACAAAGCAGCGTAGAGCTCTATTAATAACAATACACATTTTCATTTGAGTGATTTTGTGTTTCCTTTAACATATTCCAAATTATAGTAAAAATCTCTGGTTTAAGATGAGGGTTCAGAATTTCAACAATATCTGCTGCATACGTGTCAAACTGAGCTCCAGAAACACTGGAGACTGCTGAAAAAGTGCTCTGATTTAGTGATGAAACAGCCCAAAAGCAAGAGAAAAGGAGCACAGGAGCTTGGGCACACATCAGCAGTCACAGATCTACCGCACTTCAGGAGCTGCATGACACTGCCTTGAGCAATTAAAACACAGTGGCTGAGATAAAATTCATTCGAACTCCTGCTAGAATGAAAAAAGCAATTAAACACTACCAGGTCAATGTGGGTTTGCTCAGGCTGAGGGTGCTGACAGACAAACTCTGGCAAATACCATCGCATCACCCTCATATGTTGCAACTCCTGAGATTTGCCGTGCCTTGTGCAAGAGGCCACCTCCACAACATCTACCACACCCTGGGCAGGAGGCTTCCACATCCAAAATACCTACCATATGCTGGACAGGAGGCTAGCACCTCCCTGGAGGGGAACATTTGCCCTCTCCTCAACTCCACCAGTCCACAGTCCAGGATCCCAGTGTCAGTCCCCAGCAGAGGCACATTTCTGCTGGATGTCTAGGTGACAAACTGGCAATTGCAAAGCTCTTAGAGACAGAGCCCTAAGGCTGCAAACACATTTACTACAACCCAGCAGGCACAGGGTAGCTTCTTACACCACCTGCCTGGAAATCTGCATTTATGTTTCTGCTGCCTTCACTGGTGTGTATTCAGCAAGTCAGTGTTACCTGCCAATACCCCACTGACAGTCTGCGGAGCAGCCAGGAGCCAAACATATTTCTTTCCATCCCCTGTGTGATGCTGCAACTTCAGGAGCAAGTGTTGCCACCTGAATACATTCCTTTATTCAGCCACTTTGTAACGAAATGCAAATAGAAAACCTCTGGTTGCCTCTAAGGCAAACAGCATCAAGTGAAGTATGTACAGATTAAAGGTACGCTAACTCCTGCAGCTACCCCAAAGGGACTGCTCCAAATACACTGAGATGGTGAGCAGGCTTTAGTCTAACTAACAAAGGAGCAATTAAACTTAATGTGATCCTCTTCTTGCTACTTAGTGTATCCACTGGAGGGGAACAGAGCTTTTAAAATGTCTCTAAATAGGAAGTCAGAATGGTATAACGGTCAGGAACAAAACAGCAATGACTTCAGCACTTACACATAGTGCCTTGAATCTTCCAGACTCTAAGTAACCATCAGATAGCCTGACAGGGGGTCTGTCATGCTGGATACCCTGATAAAAAACATTCAAATGTCACTAAGGTCAATTCACCCTTCATCTTTCCAAGACTCTGCAGCCAGTGGGCTCCTGAGAATTCACCTCTAGGCCAGCCTTTGGGAGGCTGCAGGTGGGAAATGCGGCACTGAAAGGGAACAGCCTTGCCCAAGGTCATGCCAGCAGCTCTGTGCCAGAGCCTGAACCTCACCAAGCCTGCTAAGGTAGAGGTTCACCAATGGTCTTCCCCTCACTGATGATCTGCCCACTCAGATAGTAAAGATTACGTCTCTCTTATTCCCCACAAAACAGCTTCCCTCTCTGTTGGTCCCACAGACAGAGATTTCAGGGCCAAAAAGGCCTGTTTTGACAGTCTTGCCTGATCTGCTGGAATGCACAGACTTTCAGCTAGTTATTAAATCCACACCTCCTGATTGAAGGTCCTTCAGGAACACAATAAATTGAGCCTTAGACACCTCCAGTAATGGAGAACTACAACATCACTCTTGGTTATCGTTAACACTGAGCATTATTTCCACTTTGAATTTGTCTAGCTTCAGCTTCCATTTGCTCTGTAAGAGGGCCAGTGCAAGGGGAGCAGGAAGACCTGCCACACCATGGCTAGAAGAGCTTCAGGGTTTGGATGGAGTCACTTCCATCCAAGCCCTAACCATGAGCCACCACTATTCTCAGAGCACAGAAACGTCGCCCATGCCTCACCTCCTCTTCCAGTTTGATGACCTTCGCTTGCGCATTGTTTAAGGCCTGGTCAAGGATTTCGATGTGCCTCCTCTGGTCCTCATTGGCAGAGCGCACAGCTGCCAGCTCCATCTCCAGCTTCTCTTTCTCCCTCAAGTGCTCTTTGTCTGGAAGAAAGACAAGAACAAGAGCCACGAGGACAGCTCAAATGCTGCTTCTCCCTTATTAAGCACCTTCAAGCACCAGAAACAAGACTACAACATGTAGATAACCTCTGTGCTGAAAAATCATCCAGTTTTTGGATAAGATTTTAAAAGACGTTAAAAAAAATAAAACTGGCTAAACTCAGTCACCTTTGCTCACAACTTCTTCTCTGGTGACAAACTGCAAGCCTACCATGGACTTCATTGTCAAGTCGCCTGGGGAAAGGCTCGGCTCCATCTACCTTTGCCCTGACAGTACTGAGAAGCCATTCCAGGGAACACGAGCATCACGGGCCTGTCACTGGATCCCCAAGACCGGACTGCAAACAGTTAATGACTGGAGGGGGCAGGGGATGGAGGTTTCATTCAGTGAAATCTGAGACTTCAAAGTCTGGCCCTCTTTCCAAATGACAACAAAAACAGAGCACTTGGCAAGCCTCCAGAAAGGAAAATTTCCTCCAAAAATTAATTTCGCATCAATTAAACATTGTTTTCATTTTTTACTTTTTAAACACAGTACTACAGAATTTATTATTTTTCAACTAAAGTGAAAAGTTGCTCCAAAAACACTGAAACATGGAGAATCTGCCCCTAATATCCAGCCCATCCCACCACGCATGACGACTCAAGCTGGAAGCTCCACCGTCCACCTCCCCCCAAGGAGGGTCAGGAAGTTTCACATGGCCAAAGTCAGCCCATTTCAGATCTGAACTACCCCTAGAAGGGCCATCTTCTTCCTTTATTGCAGGTGGGATGAGAACAGGTTTAATTCACACACTACCAATAAATGCTTGCTGCAAGGTGAGACACGTATGAGATGAGCCATGTGGAAAAAGGCACAAGTGGCTGAGATGAGCCCAAACCCACCTGGCTGTCTTCCCATTTATCCTAAAAGGAGGAATTCAGCACCTCACAGAAACGTTCCCTGGCAGCACCACCACCACACTGGCCTGTGCAGAGCCCACGAGCACGCACAACAGGCCACTGCCTGCCACCTCAAGAAGCTGGAACAGGCTGCCCAGGGAGGTGGTGGAGTCACCATCCCTGGATGTATTCAAAAAGCGGGTAGATGAGGTACTTAAGGACAAGGTTTAGTGGGTAGACAGGAACGGTTGGACATGATGATCTCAGAGGTCTTTTCCAACCGAGTGATTCTGTGATTCTGTGACATGGCATTAATCTTCCCACGTCAGCAAGGAACTTTGTATTGGACACACAGGTCTCTTCCTTCAACGCAAAGACATTTACTTCATCAAATTCACCAGAGGGAACATTAATACCTATTGTACAGAAGTGTAAATCTGGGCAAATTATCAAGCAGCTAATTTCATTAGAGGGTAAGGAAGCCGGAAGATGAATATTATTTCAACCCTGTGGCACTCCACTGTCTCATGCTGGAACCACACTTGCTGTGCTCCAAATTTGAAACCCATGATATAGGAGGACACCACATAGAAAAACAGGACTCAGGACCTTCGCTTTCAACTTTCATCTGAGGAACTCAAAGCACTCAGCTTGCTCTGCTGCATTACATTTTCTATCCCCCTCCTAAATAGAAGATTATGCTGAACACAAAATGACCACTGAATCCACTAGAAAGCTGACAAGAAAAATTTACTAAACAGCTCTCAACGCTTCTCCACGTCAGCTTCTCACTGTAAAATGCTGGAGGCACATTTTATAAGTACTTTCCTATAATGCATTAATTTTTAGTAAAGATCTTTGTTGAACATACCTTAAATTCTCTTCAAGTACATACAGGCATCCTTAAAGTCTAAAAATACTGTTTTACTGTGCTACACTTGCATGTACCTTCTGCCCAGGCATGTGCTTTTTACCTAATAGACTCCAGTTAATAACTATTTCTTTTTTCTGGCAGGTCATTGCTACATCCCATTACTGAACAGTCCCCAAAAGGCTTCTCTGCTGTAGTCTACAGCCATAACCGCACTGCCTCCCACCCGCTGCCTCTGGCTGTTGTACCTCAGCACACTGAGGACATTCCACCAACACACTGTGGCTGAGTAGAAAAAAGGGGAGACAAAGCCAAAAGCCTGCTTCAGTGCTTTGCAAACAGGCTTTTTGAGTTGTGAAGCTGGGCAGAGACACCAAGAGCAGACCAGTGTTGACCCCACTTTGAAGCAGAAACATTAGACAAAAATATATACTCAGTCACTGCCACTCCTTCACTACACTTGGATGTGATTCCCAGCTTTTCACACAGATCTCATGCTTAACAGAAGGTTCTGGTCTGATACATCTTGAAAGAAAAACAAGAAATAGGTTTTTAATGTACCACTTATCTATACCAGTTGAGTGCATGTCCTCAAAGCCACCCATAACTAAACACTACATTACAGAAGGCACAGGTCCACCCCACATGCTTCATGAGGACTAGCTGTGTTAACCCCTGAGTCCTGGCCAAATGCTAAGAGAGCTCACTGCAATCTTCTCCTGCAGTTTTGTTCACAAACAGCACATTCCCATCAATTCTCTGGAGTTTGGACCATGTCAACACCAAGGAAAGGCTGAGAAGCTGCAGGAGCTTGTGCTCCAGGTCCCTGAGTCTGTTTTCTCACGTGGTGATTAATAGGGATTCTGCACTGGCATTGATAATTATGATCTACTCTAACATACTTAATAAATGGCTCAATACCTGGTTACTTTTGGTCACTGACCTAAGCAGGGACTAATGCTCTGCTGTCAGAGGAAGTCACCGAATCTCCATCAAAACTCATGATGGCTTTCCTTACCCTACAAAGTACCGCAGGCAGCTTAAGCATGGTCTGATTTACAGTTAGGACATTGCCATTTGCATGTCACGAAGAACAAGCCAGGGAAGAGTTTGACCTTCATGTGTTGAAAACTGAAATCAGACTTCTTACTCCCCTTCCCTTTGGAGGGCAGGGGGAAGTCATGTAAAACAGATCTATTTTTCTATATGACAGCATTTCCTCAGGACGCTGCTCCCTGCGCAGGTGCTCTTGGCTCTGGGTGCAAGAAGGCAGCAGTTCTGCACCTCCCCACAAGCAGCTCATGGCTGTGAAACAAGGGCAAGGAGCTCCCTTTCACTCACCCCTGAAACTTCTGCCTCTGCCCTGATTATTTCCTGTCTTAATACTCAATGGCTCTTAGTTTGCCCAAAACCCCACTCCCCAAAACATCTACTGCAAGCATTTCCTTTGGTTGGATTCATTCCATGGGAATAGTTCTTTGCCTAGGATATGTGGGACAGAGATACATGCACAAGTCATATGCAGCACATCCACTGCATGCTCTCACAGAGCATGAGACTATATCAACACACTGCCAAAACTGCTCCTGCATCCCCACTAATGGATGCAGAGCGATGTGGATGGGCACAGACCTCGATCTGTCTCAGAGCCCTGAAAAACAAACCAGCCCCTTGGAGGAAGTCCTGCTGACAGTGTGTCCGTAAGCCCAGAAATCCCAGAAAAACACACAAAATTCTCTGACTCCACCAAAACAATCTTTTCCCATGACATGCTGTATCATAAGCTTTCTTTCTGTCTTATGCCCTTGAAACCATTTTCAGTCTTCCTGCCTCTCCACAGCATCTCTCATCCTACTCCTGTCTGGCTCTTCTCTTGCTTGTATGGGCCCATACGCCTTCATCAGTCACTGCTTCATGTCTTTCCTTTAAAGAACCTTTTTCACTGACAAAACATCACATAATTAACATGAAACTAATAGGCTATGAGTTCTTTCCTACTCCTAGTACAACAGCAGCATTTTTCTTAGGCACAAATGCCTAGCCCTTAATACTTTGAGGCATGCAGCCTGGCTTTGCCTATTACTATTACAAAGAATAAGAGGTTTTGTCACCGCTGGTCTTCATCTGGTCCACGACCGCTCTGCACTGTTGCACTGCTAATGGAGAGCTCTGCGAGGAACTGAGAAATGATCCCTGCGTGTCCTGCCTTGTCAGACTTCTTTTTCAGAGAGTTTTCCCTATTACTGGAGTTTTACCACAGTATTAATTCTACATTTGCAGTATTACCAAGGGTGAGTGTTAAAAAACCTCATGAGTTATATCTTTCCTCCTTCATCTCATGAGACTGCCTTAAAAATTATAGCTGCTGATGTTGAATTTTTTTTTTATACAACTTGAGTTAAGGGTCGTGTTTTCAGGCTGTTTTCCATAAATGTAGGGACTAGAAATCTGTCTGTGCTTTCCTAATGAAAACAAAGATTTGCATTTACTAATCTGACTTAATAAGCTACTACTCTTCGGAAAAAAACAAACATAAGTCTCACAACGAAACTGCAACAGCTGATGGGAGTGCAAGGATCAGTTGTACACAGCACTTAGCAGCCAAGTGTACACACATCAGCTAAAACACACTGCACTCTTTCTCCTCTCGGTTTTCTGCCTGCGTTTCCCATCCAAAAAAGTCCCAGATTGGCAGTGGGGTGCAAGCCTGGTCATGGTCTGTCCCTGGGGAAGACTCACAAACATCAGTGCATAAATGCAGTCAGCAACAGAGGATTTTCAAACAAAATCCTTTTATGGAGCTCTCCGAGGGGTGTTTTAGGCCAATACCCTGATATCGAGGTCATTGCTGTGCGTGCCCCAGCAGCCCACAGAACATGACTGGAGAGGACCTGCTTTCCATGTGTCCATGTGTTTTTCTATTCTTGGAAGCACTCTGCATTGCATCAGTAACATTTAGCTCTCTGGCCTAGCCAGGAGACACTCCAAGCATCCAGCCTGTCTTATGCGATAGAATCCGAAAAGCTATATTTGTTCATAAGCTGTGAATTGATAGCAGTAATACGCTGAGTGCACAGTGCAAAGTTTTATTGCTAGATATTTATCAGTAGAAGCACAGAGCATGTTTATGCACTGGCAAATGACACAAATTGAGTCCATCCTGGGGATTTAACTACCCCTCATAGCTACCGGCATATGGGAACACTGCCAGGCTGTCTCTATACGAAGA